AGAGCACAAACCCAAGGGACGGCAAGGCCACTCTGGGAAGACACCTCCTAACGGCTCTGTACACGGGAATAGGGTTCACTTCTGATCCTGGCTCCCTGTAAACACAAAGGACATACATAGGGTGCCATAACCCCAACGATGGCCCGGGCACGAGCCCGACGGGTCAGAAAGAAGGTTATTTTCCCCCTATCATTTGCTTGAAGCTCCAGATGGCATTCCCCCCAAATCACAAGATCAGGAGCTTGGGGCTGTCACGGTTTCTACTGGTGAGAGCCCATCGCTACCACTGCAGTCTGAATCACAGCAAAACAGCGCCCCAGAGACCTGAGCCAAATGCTCCTGTACTGTACCCAGACCTCTTTGGGGGCCTGAGCCTCTGCGGCTCACTGCCACGGGGCAGGGGTGGGGGATACTTTAAACTCCCTGAATTCATTTCTACCCAAAAGAAAGTTTGTAAAGCTCTCCATCTTGACAAGCAGTCCTTTCCAACGGTTGTCCAACAACAAAAAAAAAAAACCAACAAAAAAAAACAAAAAAACCCACACAATATACGTTCAAGCGTGACTATACCCACTCCCCTGGCAGAACAGAACCAATCTTTTACCTCATGTCTCATCTCGGAAGCTGTGTTGGTGTCTAGGGGACCCGTGACAATAGCCTGTCAAGCCTTTTGAGAACCCCCGTACTCCATCTCGGTCTCCCCCAGAGCGACAGCTCGTGCACGGTAGGCACACAGAACAGATGGACTGAGAGCAAGCCTCTCACGGCTTCTTAAAAAACAAGAAAATCTCCAAAGTCAGACGAGAGGGGAAAAAAAAAAAAAAAAACCCACCTTTTTCAGAAACCCACCAGATGAACTCCCCCCTCTGCTCGCATAAACACTTCCTCAGCCTCTTCCCTCAGCAGCTTATGTACCTCATGTAGGATTTGTTATTTCGGCACCTGTTGGCAGCCCCCTTTTTAGAATTTGGGGGCACCTCGCGCTGCACGCATGTCGGGGGGGGTGAGACCGCAGCTCATCCTCGATTACTACTGTCCCCCCCCCCACCCCACGGTGCCTGCGACAGCATCCCGCTCACGGAAGTGACTCAACTCCTCATGGCTGAAGAGTCAATTTCATTCCTAATTTCCGGGACGGCTCTGGGAGGCAGAGGAGGAGTACAGTTAATAGACTTCACTCATTTCTTTGCTCCGACAAGTGAGTTGTGGAGCCAAGCGCCTCAGAGCCCGGACCCGGCTATGAAAGCTGTGCACAGCGGACAGCCGCTTCCATCGCATACACCTGTTTGCTCATGTCCCGAAACTGCCACCCGAACATTCCTTCCTGTCACTGAGCCGCACGCACTTTCAAATGCTTCTAAAATAGAAGCAGACTCGGAAGGGCATGTCCATCAGTAGAGCCCCCAGCCCCTCTCCCAAGGTCTCCAAATGCCTCTCATGGAATCAGAATCCGAGTTGAAAAGAACTTTGGCACGCATCAAGTTCCAACTCTGCCCGGCTCATGAGTCCCATGGAAAACATCTCCAATATGTGCTCATCTGTCCTTTGATTTAACACCGCTTCTGACAAAGAGCCAACTGCTTCCTAACAGCCGTTCCATTTCAGGGCCCTAATTGTTAGAATATTCTTCCTGGGGTTGAGCTGAAATCTGCCTGTTGTAACTACTACCCATAGCTTATAATTTTGCCCTCTGGAGCCACATAAAATACATCTCAGTGCCCGTTCCACAGGACAATCCTTTAAGGGGCTGAAGACAATGTTCTCCGCAATTCATCCCAATCAGAACCTTATTGTATGATGCTCTGATGGGCTGGGAACCGCGCTTTCCTGTCCGACAGGTTGAGGAGCCTCCCTCCGGCAGAGCGCGAAGGTGACATATGACCACACTTTATTTACCGGCAGACAGACAGAGCCCCTCGCTCCTTAGCCTGCTAACAACACGAGGTCGTTCATCACTGGCTTGCTCCTTTTTGAAATTCACTCTGCAGCAAGCACTTTTTAAAGTCATGCACGTAATGCATCTTAAACAGCATTTTCTGCCCAGATCCATTTGCTCGACCTCGGCCCTAAGCGCGAGATGGAACAGTATTTCAGTGCGGTCCTGCTGCTCCAGGAGCCCGTGCGGAATGCGTACCGAAATGTATTTGTAACCGTACAGGACTGGGGCTCTAAAATGCAGTGTTTTGTTAAATGTTCATTTGCTGATTAAAATGCATCTTGCAAAGAAAGTGCATTACTAATGCAGACTCCAGTCCAAAAATACGTATTATGTAACGCACATTTGTTAATAACGCAGGCAATCTCCGTGTATCTGTATTAGTGGATCAGCTCGCGGCTGCCATCTCCATTACAGGCATAGAGCACTCCTTCTGAAAAACGGAGTACTTTCTTATGAACCCTAAAGAATCATAATCCACCTCGTTGCTGACAGCTGGCATTCGTCTCCATTGAAAGGGCATTCACCAGCACCCACATATTCCTGATTTTTTTTTTTTTTCCCAGTGTGCCTTGAAAAACCACTTGAACGATGTCTTTATGTTCCTTACGCCGTCAGGGAGGCTGCGCTAATTGAGACGAATAAAGCAGGTGGGTCAACGTGAGTAAAACCTTTAGAGCCGTCCCTCCTCACCGGGGGCCGAGCGAGAAGCATTTGAGCTGGGCGGCTCCAAACAGCCCGTCCGACGTCCCACACTAATTTCCACATGATGGTGGCAGCCAGGCACTTGTGACAGTAAAACGCTTTCAGTTTCTCTGCAGAGTGTGAGAGTGGGGCACAGCTAGACTACAGACACGTGTCCTTGTATGGAGTTTGCCAAATCAATGCCACTTGATTAGACCAATCAGTACTTGAATGCCACAAACTAACTCGAAGAACACAAGATGCAAGAGAGACACAGCCAAGAAGCCAGGTCAGGAACATTCTAGAATGTCCCCAGCCAAGATGCAGAAACAAACAAAAAAAACCTCAACATGGCACAAGCGGTGGCTGGAATCTTGCTAAGGTCTATACCCTGGATTTGACAGCTGTATGCGGGCACGGTGCTGGCGATATGAGGTTGAGTTCCACCAGGCCGCCTAACCGCTGTAGAGACAGGCAGGACTCTTTAGACACCAAGAAGGGAGCACCAGGAGGGAAAGCCTGGTAGACAAGCTCGAAAGGGAAACCAGAATTAATGAGAGGTCACGCCTCTCCAAAGCTCCCCCATATTGAGTCAAAGACAAAAACAAAACAAACCAGCAAAACCCCACCTGTCCCAGGCAGAGCAACTTTGTTGACACATCCAGGGCCTCTAGGAAGACGATTTGGCTCTGAATTACACCACTGTGGTCCACACCTCACCAGGGAAGCCATTGTGCACAACCCAGAAGAAGCGGTCGGATCACAGAGGGAACTCAAAAGCTTCCGGAGGACCATCCTTTCCTGAGCAAAGATATAGTAACTCCAAGGATCCCCCTTCAGGAGGACGCATTTGATTTTGCAGGGCTGAGAAAGAGATGTATTCATTTCCTCCAACCTTTTAGCCTTCGGGGTTCAACAGGGTCTGGGGTGGGTAGCCACCACCCAGCCCCAAGACTCTGATTACCCAATAGTTTTCTCCTGCAGAACCCGAGCTGGATCAAGCATTGGTGGGCAAGGAGGGATTCTGAGTCGTTTAACGTTCTGATTACCAGCAGATTAGTCCTAACTAGCCTTTCCACTAATGCTGCTTCTTTTTTTTTTTTTAACTCCAGCACCTGGAGCAGAGCCTGGAGCATGCTAGGCAGTCAATAAATATTCGCCGAATGAATTAGCTTTGTTGAAAACCTATCTCTGTATGAAACGAAAGAGCTTTAAGGGGTACCCCATGAGATCTGCTTGATAGCTGACCAGCCTGCAGCGCCCCACAGGGGCAGAGAACTGACTAGACCTGCTGAATATCAGCTCAGAACTCTTAACTAGTGGTTCCAGCTAATTAAAGTCTGTCTTCCAGCACCCGATCTCAGCCAGAGCTCATGGCGGTCCACTGATGGGTTTGTGGACTTGCAACCCATCACCCCGCCTGTGGGGGCCCTTCCTTGGAAAGATGCTTGTTTGTCCATGGGGTAATTAACCAGTTGAGACGGGGGGGGGGGGGGGGGTGAGTATTTTTCCCAAACGCTCTTAATTACAGTCTCTGTAACAGATCCGCCAAAGGTGGTTTCCTGATTAATGACTGCCTGAGGTTACCATCCTCAAACTATTAAGCCCTTGGAAATCGCCTGTGGCTGGATCATTAATACCCACGCATAGACCCTCATTTCATTCCGCGGAGTATCTGCAACTTAGCGGTCTGGTTTTCAGCTTTATTTTACCGAGGATGCTGGAGCCGAGGAGGGGTATGGACCCCTCGGAGAAGCCATACCCACCCTAACCTGTGGCTAGCTCGCTCACTCGTTTTGCTCCTTGGCACCCGCCAGGGCCCCCGCCCCTCGCTTCGCCCCAATCCTTCCAAACAAGGTTCCCTCCTGCCACCTGCCGGCCCACTAGGGTCTGCGCCACGGGCTCGGCGCCACAGCGCAGCTCGCGGGGAGGCGCCCCCGCCTCCTTACTGCACATGCCCGGCTGAAGTCCGGGCGCGCAACTTTGCAGAACCTCTCCGCCGCGTCCCTCCCCGCCTCAGTCTCCTCATTCCTCTCCCAGGCGAGAGGACCAGCGGAGGCACCTCTCCCGGGTCTTAGACCGCAGAGTCTGAGACTTAGAGAGAGGAGCCTGGGAGGAGACAGACTCTCTCTTCCCCCTTTTCCCATCCCTTCTTCTTGCTCAGAGAGGCGAGCGGAGGCGCGGAGCTTTAGAAAGTTGAGTGGTCAGGAAGGTAGGTGCTTCCCTTTTCCCCCCTCACACCGAGGTGGGGCTGGGACCTCCGGACCCAGCTTCTCACCTCGTGGGGTGCACCTTTTTCGGCTCCAGCAGCCGATGCGCATCGGAGCCGCTCTCTGCAGAGCCAGAGGGCGGGTGGGCTTCTCGGTGTGCGCCTAAGAGAATGGATCGTAGGTCCCGGGCTCAGCAGTGGCGCCGAGCTCGCCACAACTACAACGATCTGTGCCCACCTATCGGCCGCCGGGCAGCCACCGCGCTCCTCTGGCTCTCCTGCTCCATCGCGCTCCTCCGCGCCCTTGCCACCTCCAACGCCCGCGCCCAGCAGCGCGCGGCCGCCCAGCAGCGCCGGAGCTTCCTTAACGCCCACCACCGCTCCGGCGCCCAGGTGTTCCCCGAGCCCCCCGAATCTGACCACGAGCACGAGGAGGCAGACCTCGAGCTGTCCCTCCCCGAGTGCCTAGAGTACGAGGAAGAGTTTGACTACGAATCCGAGAGCGAGACCGAGACCGAGTCTGAAATCGAATCCGAGACCGACTTCGAGACCGAGCCTGAGACCGCCCCCGCCACTGAGCCCGAGACCGAGCCCGAGGACGAGCGCGGCCCCGTGGTGCCCAAGCACACCACCTTCGGCCAATCTCTCACCGAGCGTCTGCACGCTCTGAGATTGCGGAGCCCCGACGCCTCCCCGAGTCGCGCGCAGCCCAGCACTCAGGAGCCCCAGAACCCCAGGCAGGGGGAGGAGCCCGAGCCCGAGCCCGAGGACAAGGATCCGAGGGACCCCGAGGAGTCCGAGGAGCCAAAGGAGGAGAAGAAGCAGCAGCGCCGCTGCAAGCCGAAGAAGCCCACCCGCCGCGACCCATCCCCGGAGTCCCCTTCCAAAAGGGGACCCATCCCCATCCGGCGTCACTAATGGAGGACGCCGTCCAGATTCTCCTTGTTTTCTTTGACTCAGGTTAGTTGCCCACCGCTAAACTGGGGAAGCCTGGGGTCGGTGTGGGAGCCCGCGGGAGGAGAGGAGGGAGAAGGAGAGGCAGGTTAGGAGAAAGGTGGGAAGATAGCAGGCTCAGCTAGCCAGCCCGGGAGGTGGGTGGGGGTGCCGCCGGCAGGCTGGGAAAGGCTCCCCTGGGCGCCGGGACGGCGCCGGGGGCGCCCAGGTGGCCAAAGGCTTGTTGCACGACGGTGCGCTCCTGGCGCCGGGCTGGAGACAGCCTGAGGTCTCCGAGCTGGTGTCCAGGATGCGCACCCAGAATCCCGGGCGCGCCCCAGGTTTCCAGCTGCACACCGAAAAGGCACGGGTAAGTCACTTGTTTCATGCGCTCTTTTCCCCCCTCTTAAACACTGGCCTCAAACCGGTTGGCCTTGGCAGGCGCCCGAAACGTGGTTCGGAGGTGCGCGCGCCAACTTTCACCGTGCGAGAGCTGCCGCGCTGTAGCGACACTGTTGCAAGGTGCGAAAAGTAATCACACCGGGATTGGGCGAGAACTCCGGAGACTGCCGGCGCCGGGAAAAGTCGCGCGCGGCGCTTTAAGACACTCCGAGCCTGGAGCCCAGGTCCCAGCGCTGCCAATTTGGAGCCGCGGGACCTCGGCGCCAGTGCTCCCCGCGGCTGTGCGCTAGTCCTGGCCGCCACCACCCCTCTCCGGGCGCTCACGGGGCGGGAGTCCGCTGCAAAGAGCGTGCGCACCTGCCCGCGCGCTCCAGAGCCGACCTCCTCGGACCGCCCGCGGTTCCCCACGAATCACGCGTACTTGGAGGGCTGGCAGAGAAGGTACGGGAGTCTTAGGGGGTGCCCCTACCGGCTACCAGGGTTAGTGGCGCGGGCTTGGTCACGTCGGGGCATCGCTAACCTTTTGGCGCAGCTGATCTGGCGGCGGGGCCGGGTGCAGCCTGGCTGGAGAGGTCTGAGGCTGTTTGCGCACGGACCTGGGGACAGAAGAGAGGGGCTAAGAGGCCCGCGAGGCGGTGCCGAGCGGAAAGGTAAAGCGGCACAAGGAACGGGGCTGGAGAGGGGATCGCGTCTTTCATCGGGGCACCCTACAATGCGTCCCCAAAGAGCACAGCACTACCGCGCCGGGGAAAGGTGTTGGATCCGATCCGACGCAAGTCCTTCGGGGATCGGTCAAGAGGGGGGCAGGGGCCGGGGGCGGCTTCGGCAGCCTCGGGGAGGGGAGGCGGCGCACCAGCCATTTTCGGCTCGGGTGGAGCTAAGTTCGGAATCCGTAACCTGGAGGTGAAACCGCCCTGGTGTCCGAGCACAAAAACGGCTGCAATCCGGTAACGCATCTTCGGTGCGTAAAGTGTGTCATCTTCGGTGCGTAAAGTGTGTCTTACCTGCCAATCCTGGAGGAAAAGACTGACAAATGAAATGTATTTTACAAAACCTCACCCGGTATGGAAATTGATGTTTTCTTGGTGTGCGCGTGCGTCTCGCTTTGCGCGGGTTTGGGCTAGTCTGCGGAGAATGATTTGGGGGGAGGGGGGAGTGAACCGTTTTTAGGCTGGAAAGGAAAAGATCAGTCGGGTTCTTAAACTCCTAGGGGAAGGATGAGGCCGGAAGGAACACACTTTTCTTGGTCCTCCTTCCAGGTCTCTTCTCTGGGAAAGGCGTCGCGGCGCCCCAGAACTTAGTTATGCTGGCTGCTGGATGCCTGTGTGTCTTCACTAGTATGGACCGGAGGGCGGTTTGGTAGCAGGGGGCTTCCCTGGGCCGCGGGGAGGGGTCAGAAGTCGGGAGGCTGCCGAGGTGGCGCAGCAGGGCCAGGCGCGCGCTGCCTTTGGCTTACCAGTGTGAAATTGCCTAAGTGAGATGGAGCTCTCCGAAGTTGAAATTTCTACTTCAGGTCACCAGTGGGCATATGGCTCCTTTCTGTGGCATTACGTGTTATTTTTTTCCTGTGGTAACGTCTTAGCAGCCTGCGTTCACCAAGTACGACGTCTTTGGTGAATCTGCACAAGAAGCCAGGGTTTGCTTGGCTGGTTTTGGTGTGCTTTTCCGTGCGGGAGCTGTCTTCCCAAGACCGGGTAGTGGGGGGGGGG